CGAGTAGATGTGTGTGTGTGTGTGTGTGTGTGTGTGTGTGTGTGTGTGTGTGTGTGTGTGTGTGTGTGTGTTTGAATCAGAGGGAACCCATATCACTTTCTGCCCGAAGGCTCATGGGCTGACATTTTGAAAAGAAACACAAATTCTTAGATGAGTATGTGAGACCACCCCCAGGACACACACACACACACACACACACACACACACACACACACACACACACACACACACACACACACCATACTTGTAAGCCAAGAATAATAAAATGAAATGAATGTTGGTCCTTTAAAGTGATTCACAAACACTCACACTCTTGTCTCCAACTCTCTGCAGGGCGTCTCCCAGGTGGAAGTAAAAACGTCCGTCATCTGTGCCAGGCTCTTCGGATTCCAGTCCCTCCTGGTGACCCAACACGCGTTCAAAGTGTGGCGGTTGCCTCGGAAACGAAACACGATTGACACGTCGACATACCTTCAAGTACGGAATGCTCTCCGCGATCTTATTCTCCGACTTCAGGATGAAGCCGTAGTGAACCTTGGCAAAGCCGTCGCTGGGCGCAAGCGCCAGAACCTGCAGATGGCGCCAGTGAGACTTAAGGAAAAAAGAGCAGAAGAAAAAGCAGGCGACATCACTCACCTCCTCATAGACAGTCTTGGCGCTTTGGTTGTCGCCGAGCAACAGGTAGGCCACACCCAGGTCGTTCTTCAGACTTATGTCTTCGGGAAAGATCTGCCCCAACCTCTCCAGCGTGGCCACAGCGCCCCGCATCCGCCCTGACACGCGGAAATTTAATAAAACAGAAAAACTGTCGTTATTTATCAGCTGGTTTCACCACAGGTAGTCACAGGATTATGCACACACAGGACCCTCGTCATATATTCTTTATCCTCGGCATAGAACGATTACTATTAGTGCCGCACCGATGAGCTGAGAGTCACCATTTGCATGTGTGGCTTTGTTGCCATGGAAACACGGACACTTATGTGGTTACCCAGGAACTGTTGGCGCTCTGCTCGTCGCTTGAGGGCCGCTCTGACCAAGTCGGGGGTGGCGTCCGGAAGCTCTGCGGCGTCTCTGTAGCTGCCGATGGCCTTCTGCAACATGTCGTTGCTGCGCTGCTTCTCGGCCAGGTCGTCCTCCGCCTGCGTGTTTCAGCATACGTTTTGCAGCAACGTTTACATTTACATTATTTCACAAACGAACTATGCGGATGTGTATTTGGCGTGAGTCCATATTTTCTTCGACGCGCGTAAGAAGAGTGTATATTGAGTGACGGTACAACAGTGCGGTGGTCCTGAAAATGAGCACCTGTGCTTTCCCGTAGTGAGCGCGGGGGCTCTGTGGGTGCTGTTGGATCAAAGTCTCGAAGGCTTCCAGCGCCGCCTCCGCTTTTCCCTGAGGCACAGCAAAAAAACACACACACGAAAGGACCGTGGGAGTCAACAGAAGTGTATTCGAAGGCCGCAGATGAGTCACTTCCTTCCTGTCACGTACTTTCTTGCGAAGCTTCTCGGCGGCGTCCAGTTCTGCTTTGATGGTCTTGTCCAACTTGTTGAGCAGTTTGGGTTTTTTCTTCTTGCCTGGAGGACAAAACGTGGACGTGAGAAAAATTTGGACCTCTTTGACAAATCGATGTCTCTTCTTTACCTTTTTCTTTGGGCTTCTCTGCAGCAGGGTGGTCTGCTGTTTCTATGGCAAAAAGGATCACACTGTCAGCGTCAGGCAGTGGCGGGTCCTAGATTTGAAACGTAGGCTCAACGGCTTTGCTAATTTGACTTGCGCTAACCGACCAATCAGAGCTGACGTTGTGGGCCAGCTGGATGGCGACTGAACACAGTACATTGATCGATGAGCTGCGGCAGAAAAACTGCAACCCCAAGATGGGCTTTTGAAGCACCACATACAATATACTATAATGTATTTTTTTTTTCTTAATTCAACCACAAAAACATGGCGAGATTGTCAAAGTAGACGCAGATGGCCACAATTAAGAGGGATTGGGTGAGAAATAGAAGAGTGTAAATATTTAGGCTGTCGGCCGCGGTAGATAGCCCTGCTTACTGACAGCACCTGGGATTTTTGGTGGCAGAGACTCTTCACACTTTGCTTTCTATCCACAGGTACATCTTAAATTATAAAACGACCACATCGAGTCAAATGTCATTCATCTGGTATGAACAGAAAGCGCGGCGATTTGTGTCGGTGTGTCGGCGCGCTGACCCTCGGGGGTGTTGCTCTCTCTGGTAGTCTCACTGGGTGCTTCATCTGGCTCAGACTGCTTCTCCGCCTCCAACGGCGGCTCTGAGGCGCAAAACAAAAGTAGAGTGGAACCGATTCATACTTGGAAGACAGAGAGCATAAAGTGACAAGCGCGGAGGAAAATAAGTCTTTTTGCGTATGTTAGTGCTATGTGTGTGAATTACTGAAATATTGATGCTAATTTCTGTTAGCCTGTCTATGGCATTTTGCAAAATACAGTATTTCATTATCCTGCTGTGTTTCAATCGCTTTAAATGCGTTCAAAGCATGAGGGAGAAATAGAACTTGATGGATAATTTTTTTTTTTTTTTAAATGCCATCTTTACATATCGCAGCTCTATTGCGGGGCGCCTGTGATAAATGGGGGTTTGCTATATTTCAAACTCAAACACATTGAATATGGGTTACTTTACCAAAGGAACATACCTTCTTCATGTGTCACCTTGGAGCTTGTCACATCTTCTGCAGGTTCCGCTGAACCGCAAAAAAAACCCCAAAGCAAAGATTAATTTTGGCTTAAACAAGCCTTTAAGTGATCAAAGATCCACCGTGCAGCATCCATGAAAGCCTCATTCATAATCGTGACTATTAACATATCTTGTGGCTGGAGGGTGAAATCCGTTTGTGGTGGTTGTGGTACAAGTGCTCACCCTCGGGGGCGCTGATGCTCTCTGCAACATTCTCATCTTGCGCTACGACAGGCTCGGACCACTGCTCCACTTCCACCGGTGGCTCTGAGGCACAAACCAAATTCAAGATGGATAATTCTTTAAAAAAAAAAAAAAAAAAAAAAAAAAAAAGGGAACGCACCTTCTTGTGTCAACTTGGAGCTCGTCAAATCGTTTGCAGATTCCACTTTGCAGCAAAATCAAAATGTTCAAAAAAGCAGTTCATGTTTGTTTACCAAACCTTTCAGGTTATTTCCTGGCTTACCGACAGTCTCCTGAGACGACGGCTCCTCCACCAGGACTACGGGCACAAAACATCAACACTTGAACCAAAACACAAAACCACGTCGGGCTGTCAGCCGCCTGCTGATATGCTCACCCCCGCTCGTGTCGATGGCGTCCACGTCCTCCTCTGAAAGACATCAAGGGGAAACGTCACGATGGAGAAGGACAAAAGACACCAAACGTTGATATATTTGACACACCATAAGGATGCTCCAGGTCTTCTCGAGGATCATCTGCAACATAAAATATCACAGGGGGCGATGTAGCATTCTCAACCAAAACAATTTTGAATCTAAAAATGTGGTTTTGAGCAGCTGGGATAGGCTCCAGCACACCCGCAACCCTTGTGAGGATAATAATGAATGGATGGATGATGTAATCCAGATTGTAGATGAGCTAACTAAGTGACAGAGCAACTCTATTTTTTAGTTTCAAAGAATTACAGAACAATCAAGTCATTTCTCCCCATTGAAATGAATGTAAACGCCATTAATCCGTTCCAGAACAAAAAATAATGTGCAAACTCTTTTGTTATAAAACATTTATTTCAAGCGTTCTCTTCTTCAGAGTATATCATTTTTTTCTCCCCACGACAACAATATTTTGGAAAATTTTCCTCAGCATCTGTGTTGGACTCACCTGCTACAAAGTCTTCTTCTACAAACGCAGGCAGGGGAACGGGAGCTGCAGGACACACACGTTTTATATATATATAAGCATGTACAAAGATGAGGGACAAAAAAAATAGTGATTAAGAAGTTTTGCGTTTGAAGAGGTGATGAAGCAGACTGTCAAACGGTGCCGGACAAACCTTGGATTTCAGAGTCCACATCCTCAGCTTCAGAGACTGGCATGCACATGCGCAAATGCACAGGAAGTGTGTCATGACACGCATTTAGACAAGGTGACAAGCAAATTGTTGCATCACACACTTGTGGGCGAGTCGTCTGTCGTGGTCTCCTCCGTAGGCACCTCGACTGACTCCTCCCCGTGCGGCTCGGCAGCTTCTCGCTCGGTGGACTGGTCTTCAGCTGTCAAGTCCTCTGTTGCGGTCTCCACTACAGGCACCTCGACTGACTCCTCCCCATGCGGCTCGGCAGCTTGTGGCTCGGTGGACTGGTCTTCAGCAGTCGAGTCCTCTGTTGCGGTCTCCTCCGTAGACATCTCGACTGACTCCTCCCCGTGCGGCTCGGCAGCTTCTCGGTCAGTGGACTGGTCTTCAGCAGTCGAGTCTTCTGTTGCGGTCTCCTCTGTAGGCACCTCCACTGACGGCTCTTCCGGTGCCTCTGTGGCTTGTCGATTGCTCAACTGCTCTCCAGCAGTTTCTAGCACACAAATAATGGAGAGAATTCATCTGTAAAAGAGTATGTCTGATTTTTTTTTTTTTAAATTGATACAAATGTGATGATGTTCTTAGCGTTTTTGATTTTCTTTGCGTTTGTGTTGATTACCGCACATTATAATTTTTTCAAAGATGCAAGAAAAAAATTTCTAGATTTTTTTTTTTTTGCACTGATTCCACTGCTCTCATTTTTTTTCTCTATTCCTTCATAAAAAGTTCGGAATATTTGGCTTTCAGGTGAAATTTGTGGAAAATGTCAAAAGTTCACGCAACAGCGATGCATCATGCAAGTCGAACATTCAAGTGGAAGGATGGACTGGTCATTTCCTCATCACAAACAATTCTCTCATCATATAACCTTGAGCATCGATCACTTCTATGTCTTTCTGTGACGCTTCCAGTCTCTCGGTAGCTCTGTTGCAACCTGCTGTTGACACCCCGTGACACTCTAAACTCAGTGGCCAGTTCCCATCTGAGAACATCCTGTTTGAAGCATCGCAATGGGAAGGTACTGTTGATCTATTGTTAGGCGTCGTCTTGGTCTCGTGATGTGGATTGTGGTCGAAACGACTCCCCCCCCCAAAAAAAAAAAAGATCCCAAAAGCCCAATGTGCTCTAAAAACAGTAAAGGCCTTTTTGAAATCGGCGGAAACAATATCTTTATGGATACATAAAGTCTGATTAAAATATGCTGTTGTCCAGTGTAATGATTTTTCTCCCTTTGCTCCCCTCCAGTGTGGAGTCCCTCAGGGGTCCATCCTTGGTCCTTGATTTTTCATTCATCATGCTCCCTCTTGGTGAGTCGTTCAGCCGCTTCCATGAAATGTCCTGCAGTTGCTATGATGATGATGACACCCGGATGCATTTCCCTGCCAGAGCCAAAAACTTGAACCAAGTGACCTCCCTCCATGATCGTGTAGATGCTACCAAAAGATGGATGCTCCAATTTTTTTCTTCATTTAAACCCTAACAAAAGTGAAGTTCTTTTAATTGGTCCTGAAATCTTTTCCACTGTTGGTCTTCCGTTTGTTTGTGTGTGTCAGAGGTGGAAAAAAGTACAGTGGTGCTTTGGGAGATAAATTCATTTTGTGACCATGTCTATAAGTCAAAACCCTCACATCTCAAATCACCTTTCCTCATTGAAATAAATGGAAGTGCTGTTAATCTGTTCCATCTTCCCCCAAAACATTGAAAAACTGAGTCAGGTCACGAGTGTACCTGTGTAACTTTGTTACATCGCACCACTTGTTTGTGTGTGTGTGTGTGTGTGTGTGTGTATATTCACCTGATCCCTCTTCAGTTGGCTGCCCCTGGCTTGGCGTTTCTTTCAGGCCTGCTTGGAGATGTGATAATATGACAAAGACACGCAAACTGCTCACATATTGTTCACTCGCTCAGAAATGTAAACATACAAGGCAGCAGCAGCTCACAAGTGCGCCCTTTGTCGTGTCATGTGGCTTACGTGGTCAAACTTGGAATATGAACGAACGTGTAATGTCACGTGACGTGAGAAGCATACCCGAGGTGGTTCACAGTAAACGTGGAATGGATTTTCGAAAAGTACGACGTGCTGATATTGACACACACCAATGGAGTCTTAGATAACCAAACGTATGTTTTGAAATATGAGAAGAAGCCGGAGAATAAGAGGATGGCACCGTTTGAAGTTTTATTTTACACTTGTCACATTGGAGGGAAATTATGTTCCAGAAAAGGAGAGGCGGAGTTTCCAGTGCACATACACACATGGGAGAAGATTAAAACAACAACAACAACAACAACACAAATGAATCAACGATTTCTCAGCAAAAGCATCCGATTGACTGTGTTGGGAATCACTCCTGATCTACCCCGTCCGTCTCTAGTGAGTGGACAATTTGATCACGAGGCGGAGTTTCCAGTGCACATACACACATGGGAGGAGATTAAAACAACAACAACAACAACACAAATCAATCAACGATTTCTCAGCAAAAGCATCCGATTGGCTGTGTTGGGAATCACTCCTGATCTACCCCATCCGTATCCAATGAGTGGACAATTTGATCGTGCTTCCCACAATGCATCTTGAAAATGAGGAAACAATGACGCTGACTCGAAAAGCTTTTTTTTTTGGACTGAGAATAAAAACAGTGACAATCTGCGAGTAACTGATCCCCACCCAGAAAGGTCGCACAATGCATCTTGAAAATGAGGAAACAATGACGCTAACTCGAAAAGCTTTTTTTTTTTTTTTTTGGACTGAGAATAAAAATAATGACAATCTGCGAGTAACTGATCCCCACCCAGAAAGGTCGAATGGCTTGTCGATGTCACAGGAGGGCGGCAAAGCACTACTTTTCAGTTCGATAAGAGTGCCTGACTAAATGAAGCGCCTCACCTCACTTCAACATGAAAATGGTGCCAAAGCAATAGTTATTTTTTCCCCTCGTCGTTTTTGTTCAAAATTCTGCGGTATTATTGAAGGTCCGCGCAATTTCAATGCAACACCTGAGTCGTGTTCCAAAACTTTTTTTTTTTTTGCCTAAACCAAATATCGAGTCCACTGATTCTAAACACAGCCACTGCCTCACCAGAGACAAAAAATAAGAAGAGTCCAAACATGTGCAAAAGAAGGGTTTACTTCTTCCTCCCACTGGCGGCCATTTTGTCGGCAACCACGCCCTTTTCCCTCCTGACCGCCGTCACGCCGGCTCGCTGAATTTTCTCCTCCGGGGTCTGAGTGCTATTTGCTTTCCTCGCGTCGGGCCGCTCCGGCTCCGTCTTCTCCCGGGCGGCCTTCTCCCGAGAAAGACGCAGCTCCTTCTCTCTGGCCGCTTTCTCTTTCTCCTGAGCCAGCCGGGCTCTCTCTTTCGCGAGGACTTCTTTCTCCGCTCTTTCTTTTTCTTGCCTTTCCCTCTCGGCTTTCTCCCGTTCCTGCTCCAGCTTTTCTTTCTCCATCCTTTCCCGCTCTTTGGCCATCTGTTCCTTCTGTAGTCGCTCCCTTTCTTTTCTTTCCCGCTCGCTCTTCTCTGCGGCCAAGCGCTCCCTCTCTTCCCTTTCTTTGGTGGCCTCTTGTTCCCAAACCAAGCGCTCCCTCTCTTTCTTTTCAAGCTGTTCCTGCTCCTGCTTGGCTTTCTGTGAAGCAAGTTTCGCTTGCTCCGCCTTTTCCAACTCCATCCTTTCCCTCTCAGCCTTCTCCCGCTCCGACTTTTCCTTCTCGGCCTTTTCCCGCTCCCTTCTCTCTTTCTCAGCTTTCTCCCGCTCCGTCCTTTCCCTCTCGGCCTTTTCCCGCTCCCTTCTCTCGCTCTCAGCCTCCTCCCGTTCCATCCTTTCCTTCTCGGCCCTCTCCCACTCCATTCTTTTTCTCTCCACCTCCATCCTCTTTTTCTCTACCTCCATGCGCTCCGTCTCCACCGCTATCCTCTCCTTTTGAAGCTTAAGCTGCTCCTGGGTGACCTCCAGCGTCTTCATCTTGAGTTGCCAGGCCGTCTCCCTGCCTTGGTCCTCGTCGGCGAGAAAGGCTTTGATTTCGGCGAGGGCGATGCGGGCGATCCTCTTGGCCTCAGTCTTCTCGTGGATGGCGCTCAGTTCTTCTTGTAGGGCGGAGCGCAACGCGTCGTCTCGGATAGGAAGTTCTGCAGTCGGGAATATAGCCGGCGTCAAGGGAATGGACCGCGACTGGGAACCAGGGGATGAGTTAGCAGAGCAGCCAAGCGAATTTGGAGGTGCAAACTGACGCGAAATGCGTTTGCGGTGAAAGCAAGGTTCACACACATGCAGGTGGGAGTTTTTCTACCTCGGGTTCCGTTCTTCCGCAAAGTTGTTTCTGCTGGAATCTCGTCTGGGACGCCACACGGGAAACAAAAAGACAAAATAACAAACCAACAAAAAAAAAATAGACAGAGCTGCTGCCAGCATCACACCGACGCTTCCACAAAGTCATGTGACCGTCCCCACGCTACCTTTGTTCACTTCCATCTCATCGGGATCCTCGTCCATTTCTCGAAGCACTTCACACACAGACACAGTTTTCAGAAACGGACGTCACAGTTTGCGATAACGGCGGCGTCAGCAATTTTTTTTTCTCGATTCGATCAAAAAAAATCTTTCAAATGCAGATTTGACAAAAGGCAAACATGCAACACTCTCGCAAGAAGCAAGTCAAAGTGCAGTTGGGTCCCAAAATCGGCGCCTTAAGCCCGACTCAAGTTGAGTGCCAGGCCCGGCTGCTGGTGGTTAGGTTACCATGGCAACAAACATTTTGAGTCTCATTGTACTTCCGGATCAAAAAGCAAAGCTAAAGTGTCGTTATGTGTGCGTGAGACCTTCTTCTTCCTCATCAAACAACAACAAAAATGCAACGTTGGCTCGTTTCCAATTTAGACACTCGCAACGTTGAGCGTCCCGCACACCGGACGCGCTTTTCTATCCTCACAGCACCTCAGAGACATGCACGACGTGTACCTTTCCTGTACGCCTGCCTCCTGCGGGAAGCTTTTAACCGCCTGCCATCTGAAGCGACAAAACAGCAGAGGGCGTTTGTCAGTGATGCTTTCTGATCGGGAATTGTTGGATGGACGAGCGTAAATGTGCGAAGCTCATAGGATCATTCGGCGACAGCGCCGACACACCGCGGTGGCTTTTCTCTGTGTTGGAAAAAAAAAATGGAACTTGAGGTCTCCCTTGTCAAATGTGAAAACATGTACGCTCCCAAAAATTGAAAATGTAATAAAAAAATGGGGGCGGGGGTGGGGGGGGGGGATGCAAATGGATCTTTGATCATGTTAGTGTCCGTGTTGGGGGTGTGCAGGTTGAAAGTTTACATTGTTTGATTGTTACAAAAACCATTTTGGGCTTTTGGGATAATATTTCACTTTGTATCATGCGTCAAAACTTTCATGGCGAACTTCATTTGACCTTCTGTAAAACATACAAATACAATGTTTCAGTCCATCCCGTAAAAATGTTCACGTGCTTTGCTAGCTTGTGTCCAACGTCAAATTCAACGATTCATTTGGAGCACCGCCCCAAAAATACGCCGCACTCCCCCCCCCCCAGTCCACCCAGTTTGCCAAGTGTGTCCTCCATTAGGTCCTCGGGCCTGCTTCCTGTCCTCCTATTGGTTCTGAAGGTCCAGTATGACCCCTTTGACTTCCACGTCATCAAGGTAAGAAGCACTGCCCTGCTGGCGCCTCCTGGCCGCCGCTGCCTCTTCCTCGACATCTTCCTCCTCCTCCTCCTCCTCCTCGCCCTGCTCTATAGGCGCGCTGACTACATCATAGAGGAAGGTGAAGAAGCCATACATCCAATCAGAACCTTCCTCTGCCAAAATATTTACAACCTCCTCAAGAGACTCGCCTTGCGAGCTAGCATCGCCATCTTTGGTCAGGCCTGACAAGAGAGAGAGAGCGAGAGAGAGACAATAGAATAGAAGATAGGGGGCGATGGAGAGGGAGGGATGAAAGGTAACTTGAAAAAATAAAGGATGAAACAAGAAGTGAGGGATGAAGCATGTCATCAAACAAAGGATGGCGATGATGGAGGGAGAAGAAAGGAAAGGGAGTTAAAGTCGTCGTTCACACAAGCCAGCAGCCGACAACCTCGACTTCCTCTTTCTGTTTCTGCATCGCCGCGTCCTCGAACTGAGCGTGGCCGTTCATTCTGAACCCTTTCATGCACCCTGTAACCTGATCAGTCCACCACCGCTCATCCAATGTCCTCCGGGAGAGGCTACAGCTCACCCACGACTCCTGATTTTGAATATCGGGCTGGAAAACCTGACTTTTATTTATTTATTTTTTGAAACCCAATTCATCGATGATGCACCAAAATAATTCTTAGTTGCAGCCCTACTTCGACGAGATCAAAAGAATCAGCCCAGTTCTCCAAATAAGTACTGTTGAGCGAGCTAGTGTCACTCCCCAAATTTGGTTGACAAGATAAGTGACCCGCGAAACAAAAGACGGTGAAAGGTTGTACATTGAAACTCTGAAAATGTTCACGTGAGCCAGATTATTTCATGAGCTATCAGAAATGAGAATCGAGATGATGGGGGAACGCCGTACATTGGTTACCTGTTGAAATTTTTTTTCACTCGAAGGCCTCCGCAAGCTTTTTTTACACGAGTCGGAGCGCCGTGCTAAGACGCGTGGGGGGCACGTCACTGTGAACCACCTCAAAGGACGGAAATAGGAAAAAAAATAAGCGGGGACTTGCCGAGCAGGACTTTGGCGTCCTCCACATCAAAGTCGCCGTCTCCGTCTGTGTCGTAGGCTGTCAGCTTCCCTGCAGCGGAAAGAAGAAAAAAAAAAAAAGAGCGAAGATGATGATGAACGTGACCGTTTTTTTTTTTTGTGGGTCTGGAATGACGACAAGAAGAATGACGGCGGATTCACATGGGAGTAGACGACACGCGATGAGAGGCAGTAAAAGCGTTTGGGTTCTTATTTGTGTGTTCTAGAGTACTTTTGTTGAGGCTTTTTTGGCGGCAAAGTTGGATGAAGGGAAGGGAAAAAAAATAAGGGTGGAGTTGTTGTACTTCTGGAGAGCCTTGAAGGTGGGATGTATACGAGGAAACAGGAAGTGGAAAAGGGGAACGGAAGAAAGAAGACGTTTTGTCTTGATGTCGAAAAAAAGCGTACCTTGTAAAACTTGTGTAAAGTTCATACGAAACTCCTGAGCGCGGGCTGCGTGTAGACGACACACACAAAATAGGAAAACAAAGCTGAGCGTCGTCTTCTTGCTTCTTCGCAGGCCCGAAAATCACCAGAATAACGAATGCGTTCGGCGCCGCCGTATCGCCTTGCAAACGCTTACCGACGACGCTGTCGTAGTCGACGATGTCGAAGTAGACGACGGCCACTGAGCTCCAAACCCCCAACAGCGCCAGCACCGCAAACCAGGTGAAGACGGAATACTTGGCTCCTGCCCCCACGTCTCCTCCTGCCGCCTTCTTGCTGCTTTTGCTTTCCGGCGGCTTTGCTTCTGAGGACGCCACACAACACGTCAAACGCATCATTCGGCCGTGAATACATTTCATCCGTTTATTTGAGTGCTCATGATGATTATTTTTATTTTTTTGCTGCTTCCATAGTGTTGCATTTCAATTCATTGCGCTGCTCCTTCTGGTGGACCCTCCTTGGCCACCAGGAGGCAGTATAGTTACAGAGACTACTACTAATCGAGTAAGTGACTCTGTAAGATGCGATAATATTCAGTAAGATGCCAAAATATTGAGCGATGTCCCGATTTTAAGCTTTTTTTGCACCCAAGTCCAAGTCCCGTCACTTGATTTTGAACAAATGCCGATTCCCGAGACCTGATCCAAAACCTCTGAGGTGCAACGCAGCGAAGAAAAAAAAGAAGACCATATCCAAATTTTCTCAATTGTCTTAATTTTTGTGTTTTGTTTTGCAATAAAAGGTATCATGAGGCGGTGCCATTTTATAAAGAACGAAAATATTGTATTCTTTTACTTTAGAAATTTGAAAAGCCGCTATCAGCTGAAAAATCACGTGACCGAGCGTGTCCACATTTGCAGAGGATAATGAATATATTCCCGTGAGTGCTGTTGTATTCTCCATCTGCATGTGTTGCGTCACTGTTTATCTTCAAAGACCCGCTGGTTGTTAAACTGCAACAATCGACGCTAACGTTAGCATGTCACACGGACACTTTTGGGGTCGTCAAAGAAAATGATGTTAATATTTTTGGAATGTGTGAGGGAAAAACACATGCAAGCATACAAAATGGAAGCGCGGGAGGGCTGGAGCCTCAATTCCAACATCGCCACCTGTCAGGCAGACGTGCCGCTCATGTTATGAGCCGGCCCTCGTTAATTACATAACACATCAAACGCACATTCATTTAACACACACGGCAGTTATTAGTAATCACAGTTGGCACTTTGCAGTTTCAAGTTGCCAACACCTTTTTTCCAAGCGTCACAAAAAAAGCAGAGGTCAAAGTGACCCGGGAACGTATTTAACTCCAGCTCGACGGGGGGGCGGGGTCCAACAACAGCTGCTCCTCGGGAAGCAGCTGAGAGCTTCAAACATGACAATCCCTTGGGCTTCATCTCCAACCACAAATGCGTCCGGCTCAAATGTTAAAGGTGAAAGTCGGAACGCAGTCGAATTCAACCTGGTCAAACCAAAGCCAACCGGTTCATGCCAAACCAAAGCGAGTCCATCCCCGAAGGGTTCCACCCACCGGAGAACAGAGGAGCCTGCTGCGTGGCTGCAGCCTCCTCCAAAATGTCTCCTCCTAGCAGAAGCAAATCAAGTGACCCGGAGAAGAAGCAGCAGAACCAAAGTCCAGTTTGACGATCACACTGGTCCTACCTGTCTTCTTGAGGCCATCCTGAGCCTCCTCACTTACGATCGGCTCCGCCTGCTCTTCGCACACCTGCTCATGAGCGTTCAACGCCTCCTGGGTGCTGTGGGGCTCCTCCGCCGGCGCTGCCAAGGAGGTTGCGGAGGGGGTGGAGGCGCCATAGTGGCGGTAGCGCTGCATGGAGCAAACCTTGCGAGCAGCCCGTCAAACTAACGCATTGAATTCTCGACAGCACGTTCACAAAAGAGCCCGGCGGATGATGCAAACTATGGGAAGGAAACTTCCAAAGAGGCGACAACAAGACGACAAGTGACCAACGGGCAGGATGGCGGCCAGTCATTCATCAGGGAAGACACAAGCACCTCCTCCTCGCCGTCCTCGCACCGACCAATTGTGAGGTCCAGAACCTGAACCCCCCGCCACTATTCTTAGAGCCGACAAACCTCGCAGCGCTCCGTGTTTCTCTGTGTGTGAGATGCCACAGAGGACAAAGTAAGGCAAACAACCTTTACATAGAATACTGTGCAAGAGCGTCGGGCCACTATTAGATTTGTTGTTTTAGCAATGCCGTCATGGGCATATATAAAACTACCAATAGGTTGTCCACGGACCTCCTTCAAGGAGGAGGATACAGTGGACCCCAGTTTAATGGCTAGACGAGAGTTTGGTCAAAAGATGTCCAATTTGAGCTAGTTTAGGTTGGACTTAACTTAAATCACGGCGTATCTACTTGGTGTGAACTAAACTGTCCATTTAAGTGTTTTAATAAACTGTTTAATACTAGATTTGGGGAAATGCACTAGAGGGAAGTGAGATGTTGAAGTGTACATCAGTAAAACAACAGACTATGAATGAAGTAAAGGACATTTTTTTAGTGAATATAAAGGCTTGACGTCACGTTCATATATAAATATGATGAAAGTGAATTGTGAAAAAGGAAATCGATGTCGTCTTCAGCTAGGCAAGCACACAATCCTTACGTCATTGACGGTGCGACTTCCAGGAATGTTGCGGTCACGCAAATCAGCAAATGCCTCACAATTAATCCGTGTGGTGGATCTGTTGGCACCTCGCAAAATGGCCCTGGCCACTGAAAGCGCGAGATAGCGAGGCCAAATCTTCACGTTTATCTTTCTCTTGCTGCGAGGCAAATTAGGCGCCACCAAAAAAACTTCCATCAATATGTACGAAATAATGCTGCATATGGCGAGCACAAAGTACACAAACACATATTTATATTATACACACAGAGTAGTGTCGGTTCGAAACAGTTTGAAGACGAATGTTGCCGGGTTAAGCTTGTTGCACCTTTCACAGGCTGGAGGTGGAAAAGCGCGACCTTTGCTTTAAATCCCACGAACAAGTGAAAATGTTTGCCGAATAAAAGATTTATTCTTCAAGTTTAAAACCACGAGCGTGTTTTGGGCCCTCTCGATGTGCATCCACCAGAAAAGATACAACGTCGACAATCGGCAAAATGTTTAAGGGAATCTGGGATAGAATAGACGTGGCTGACGTTCGCGGACTCAGACTCGTTCGCTAGTAAGACAGAAGACAAACCTTTTTTGGAATGCGTTTTGGGACTTTTCTTCGGAGCCATTGTGTCGTAAATTCACTGGTAGGATTATATCGAGTGACCAGCAGCTACCAAGCTAAGCTAACGGCAACTTTGATTGACACCGGGGGGATTTTGTTCGGAAAGAGGTGGATGGATGGAGCAGCAGCTAGCTCGGAGACCAAAGACGCTCTGAATACTGACTGTGATTGGCCAAGCACTCAACCAATCGGTGATGCGAAATAGCCAAATGGGCAAGGTTGAAAAGATTTTAGCCAATCATGTTCGTTGAAAGCTTCCCACTGTTTGGATTGATTAAAAAAAACGTGGCAGGAGAAGAGTTGACGCGATCCGGGGCGGAACACAATCTGGATTTAAGCCAAAACCCACTCTTGCACACTGCTTTAGTTCTGATCTAAAACTATTTGTTTTAATGCAAACTCACACACACACACACACACACACACACACACACACACACACACACACACACACACAATATACATGTTTTCATGAAGAACATCATTGAAAGGTCTCGCAACTACATCAGTGGACCACAAGATGGCGCTATAGTCGTATCGTATCAGTAAAGACGAGAGTAACGGCGCTGTAAAAAGATATTCACCTGAATCATAAACGTTGAAATATTAAAGCGTTTAATGTGTTATAAAATCCTCGACGAATACGTTGACACGCGCATTCAAACACAACAACCAGATGAACTCCTACAAACACGCGTATCATCAGCCCGCATACAGTACAAGCACAGACACGCACACAATCACACATAAAAGGGATGAGACCGATTTACTGGATTTGTGTCTGGTTTATTTACCGCAGGATGTTTTAAATACAGACATTTATTTGCAAAATACTAAAGAGTATTACAACTCAAAGTACTAAAAAGTGGATCTATTTATTGTAGTCATCATCATCATGTTTGTTTGTAAAACACCGGGGTGGAGATGAGGGGAGGGGTTACTGAGGCACAACTTTCTCCTTCTTCACTCCAAGTTTTTGTTTTACTGGCAAAAAAAGTCTGAAAAACTCCAAAGATTTTTTTGATGACTTAAATCGGTTTTTTTTTTGTTGTGTTCTGTTTGTGTTTTGCGTTCCAGAACCGTCTTTGGAGAGACACTCATAGCACAAAATGGCGTTAGGACAGAAGACTCCGCCTCCTCTGTCACCAACAAGTCACTTCCTTCGACCACCTTTGGGCGTCACTCACACAAACCAGTGTGGACCCACTTTGACACCAATATGACACCATTAATTCACCAGTATCAAACACTTATGACACCTGTGTGACAGCATTGTTGAACTGATATCACACTGGTTTCGACCCCACGTTGAACCAGTTTGCCACCAGTGTTGTACAACACTTGTGTGAATCCAGTGTTGAACCAGCATAATACCAGTATTGTACAACACCTGCAGGGTACCAGTGCGAATCCAGTGTTGAACCAATGTGACCCCGATGATTAACCAGTTTGACATCAGTTTTAAACCAGTATAAAGTATCGTATCAGGATGGCACAGGTTTTGAATCAGTTTTCAGCCAATGCAACATCAGTTCTGAACCAGTATGACACTGGTTTTGAACAACACTCAATCCAGTGCTGTAACCAGTGTGACACTTGCATTGACCAAGTTTGACACCTGTGCTGAACCAGTATGAATCCGGTTTGAAGGGGAGTGGGTACAAACGTTGACACAGTTGTTTTTTGTCCATAAAATGAGAACAAGGTTCAGATGTTTGTTGTTGTTCAGATGTTGGAAGGTTCCTGTGCACTCTGTTGGGGTTACAAGATGACCAAGCAGCTTTTATTTTGAAAAGGAAGGCTGGAAGGCATATTACCCCCTCTGTTCCGGAACTTTCCGCACCCCCTCGGTAGCACCAAATGGACCGAGTCGGTACGCATGTGACGGAATCTTCCTGAAACACAGACCTGTCAATCACCAGAGCTTCCGCCCGTAAAGAGAAGAACAAACGGCCCAACAAACACGTAAAAAAATAAATAAAAATAAATAAGGTGCTTTTATATGATTAGATTTGAGTGCTTTACGTCTTTCCTTTTGGGCTGCCTACTTTAGTGTTCCTGGGAGTAAATGCATTTGTTCACTTTTTTTTTCATTATTCCTTTTTCTAATTAAATGATAGGTTAATTAATTCCTTGCAAATATAAATAAAACAATTAATCATAAATATTACGACTAAAAATGAGCAAAAATTTATTGCAAAAATAAAACTAATTTAATACATATTTGAATTTAAAAAATACCTACTTTCTAATAATAAAATGTCACTCTTGAGCACAAAAGTGTCATTTATTATTTATTCTTTTTATTACAGTGGTGTCTTCAGATACGAGTTTAATTTGTTCTGTGAGCATGCTTTCCCCATTGAAAGGAATGGAGACGCCGTTAATCTGTTACAAACTCCCCCTAAAAAAGAAAACGTGCTTGTGCTTTTAACAAGGAATAAATAGCACTCTCGAATATTGTACTCCATTAAAAACTTAAGAGTAATACCGTTGAACAGAATGCGAAGAATTAAACATGTGAGTATGATGATATTGTCTGTCATACGTGTTGCTCCACCTCGTGTGTTTAAATAGCCAGTTAAATTGCTTCTTAAAGCACGGCTATTGATGCTAAATGTTCGCATGTCAATTGTCAGCATTAAGCTTAGCAGACTTTTGATTGCTTATATCTCAAGTCACCACTGCATAATAATTATAAATTTTAATTACTATCACAACGTAAACATGTTTGCCTCCCTGCCACTGGGGGAACCACAGCACAGCGACAAGTGCTTATTTGGCCATCTATGAACAGAATTATTTTCAAAAGGTGTTTTGTTTTTTTTTTTTTTTCCGGATGCTCATCAGCCAATCAGGAGCCACCTTAGAGGCACGGGGTCCCGGGGACAACAAAAGGGGCGCTAATGACGGCGCGGAGTGTCATTGAGTGCGGTGGCGGCAGGCAGGCACACTCGCGGTCTATTGCTACCGAAAAGAGCCCTTCAGCGCAGCGCAGCCGAACACCACGGCGACACTTCGCAAGCTAACTTCTGCTTTCAACAGCAGAATAAAAATCCAGGTGGCGCCAGGTTCCATTTGG